TATATATATATTTCTTTGCTTGATAAACTGAATCGATGTGTTCATGTAAGACCCTATATTTGTTCGCGGACACTCAATTCATTTGTAAATCGCATTAAATATGAGTGTATAAAAATATACATGTAGTTGGCTTACATGCCCTTATATACCAGCATTCAATATCCACGAGGAGAGAGCAACAATGCCGTACATAAAACATTTACACAGAAACTCTTTCATTCTCATATAAGCACAAGTCACAAGGGGAAACTGTGCATCACTAATCAATATGCATACGCACGCACAGATTAGTATATGAAGAGAAAGCGAGGATTCATGCACATACATGAGGACAAACACGCTCCAGGAGAGGTACGCCAGCATCAGCCAATTATGAGCTTGTTCACGCACTGGGAGGAACAAGTCCAGCGCATACTCCTTCGCGGCAGGCAGTACATTGTCCATATCTAATGATCTAATGTTCAGATCATCGGCGATGCGAATGATAATCACACAAATCACATCGTTCGATATTTATATTTATTATAGATCGTGTGCTTATCAGCCATCAGCTGATCAGGCACCATAGTAGCACAGCCGATTCTCCGAACACTTAAAAATTTCTCAGCATATTCCTTATCTATGGCATAAAGCACATTCGATTTCTTCTTTTTTTATTGTAAAAAACAAAAACAAATACAAAACAAAAAACAACGTGACTTACACAATTCTTCCAGATCTGCAGAGCGTTGTAGAATGTATGTCCATTGACTGCGTCATATGTGTGTACATAGGTGTAGTTGTATGTGCTGTGTCTAACGTCAACACAATAAAGTCATTATGATGTGAAGAATAATAGATTTTGTAGACAAAAAATAAGACCATGCGTTTGCGAGCCACGATTGAAATTAGACAGAATTTCAGTACCCACAATGTAAATATGTATATCTTATTCTAAAAGAAATTTCTTCCATTTGCAAAAAAAATCGGACAGCCCTTGTGCCTTTTGGAGCCTCCAGCCGAAGCGAAATGAGATTCAAGTATATTATCGACTGCTACCAGCTACCCAACACTAAATCCATCCCTAGAGTACTATATAGATAATATGCGCAGGCAAGTCAGATCGACGTGTTTAATTTCAAAGTATTATGATACGTGTACTATTTCGGAGTAATACAACGCTATCAAAGCAGCCCTGGCTTGAGAAATCAGAGCCGTGTCTATTTGACCACATTCACCCTACCGGTCCTTCCGGCATGGACTTGTACGCCTCGCGTCGACAGAAAGTGGATACACTATCAAATTCGAGAAATCAGAGTCGTGCCTATTTGTCCACATTCACCCTACCGGTCCTTCCGGCATGGGCTTGTACGCCTCGCGCCGACAGAGAGTGGATACACTATCAAATACACTGGGAGAATACGCGGTTCCGGTGACTAGAATGACATATACGAGAAGGTCACGTCCTGGTGATCACCACTGCTTCTGCGCGAGCCATCACTCGCATTCCTGTCATCAACAGTGTCTGGCGGGGACTGATCGGTGTCGTCGTATTGTGGCGAGTACACCGTACCCGTTCGCGACGATGGCAAGTAATTACCGGCCATTTTCATACCCGAGCTGCCTACGCTTGTCATGCTTGTTTTGTTCACACTGCCTATACTAGAACTTATACTTTGGTCCAGACTCAGACCGGAACCCGTGCGGCTCGCATCCTCTGCTAGATGCTGGGCACCGTAAAAAGGTAGCTGTCGATGTTCGTTGAACCTCGTTTGTAGGCCCGAGTACGAGTTTTGCATGTCCTCTGCCGAGGGTGCATGAGGCGATTGTGCGATACCATAGAATTGCTGCGTGGGCACAAGACTATTCGATTCTGACAAGCCTGATCTCAATTCAGCACTATCCGTCGAGGTTAACCAGCTGGAGCCATCGTGACCGGTCAATGTGAGTGGCGGCGTATGACGTCCCACTGCAACATTAGCAGAGCCCACCAAGCTGTGCGAATTGGTAGCATGTGGCAAGTACGAGTGGTGTCTGTTGAACTCTAATCTAGTCTTTGAGTACGAGTTCGATCCAGATTGCATGTCAAGTGGGAGCTGCGTGCCTTCGTGAAGTACGTTGTTCATGTTGCTGCTGAAACCCATTGCGCTGCCCTGGCTCGGGGTTGTTGTGAGTCCCGTGTTGAAGGCGTTACTATTCCAAAGCTGTAAAATTGTTATCGCGAGTGGAATATGAGAGTTATATACTACTATAACAACAAAGTTGAGAGGGTTGTTTGTTTGCAATCACTACTTGCGGCCACCCGATCCAATTCTTGTAAATTGGACAGAGAATTCAATTTATGACAGAAACATGCCTGTACGATCTCGAGTTTGTACCAATCACTGGCGTTATAACTAAGCAAGAGATCTCAGGGGAAGTGATCAAGCTCTCTCACTTAAATATAAACCTCGAAACACAATCTGATATAATTTCGAAACAATGTGAATCAACAAACATTCGGAGGTGGTAGATGGGTTCATATCACAGTCGCTGGCTCCGCGCTATACCTACCGAATAACCACTGAAGAATGAGTTGAGATCACTCTGTTCTGTGCTCTGCCTATGTTCGGTGCTCTGTTGCTGATGTCCCTGACGATCCCCAGGGGTGCCAATCCTCGCGGCTTGGACTTCGTTTCCATTATCAAACATTGAAGAGTCCGATTGATTCCTGCAAATTTTAAAAACAGAATTTGTTAGAGCGAAGCACATCACCCAAAATCATAAACTCTTAACGTTGTAGTACGAAAGTCCACGACAACACTTAGATAAGAAATTGTTTTTGATATTATGTACCATCGTCTAAAATTGAAAAGAAAAGCAAACATTTAAGCTCAAAACTGAAGTTCGATTGCAGCCCCTGTACATCCTTTATGACTAGTAGTAGATGAATAGACGTGTAGATCACAAGCCAACATACCGCTTAGACATCCTCCGCTCGCCCCCAATCGCCGCCGGAACAGGCCCATTCCGCCTGACTTCACCCGAATCGCTGTTTGCTAGCAAACCACCGTATGAGACGGAATTTGCAGTCACAGAGCTCTGCAACCTATAGGCTGGGGCGTAGTTTGGTGCTGAAACGAACTGATTAGGTGACTGCATGCTTCGACGTGTCTGTTGATAAGACGAGCCCACATTTGCGTTGGCATAGGCAGGGTCATAACCGACGGTCTGGGATATGCCCGAGGGATCCGTCAACGGTTGGTGAAGACGTCCATCTGCTGAAGCAAGAGGTGCAGAGAAAATGAGTCAGCGAAAACTTCATGAAATATCCACGGGATCTACAGAAACTTTTAATATAGGAGAGTGGGAGACATGGCAAACATCGCAGGTGAACCGAATCCAACCCATGAACAGCAAAAAAACAAACATCAGATGCATAGACCATGAGACTTTCCAATGTGCAGTCAAACTCAGGACACAACATACCATTATCCGCAGCTGAGCGATAGTTCTCCGAGTTCTTGAAACCTGTAGGCCATCCGGATCTATCTCTGTTTATCGGCTGGCTTAGCTGTCCCGAGTACGAGCCCTCCCTACTCGCCCGTGCATACCTGGGTACGTCGCCTTGCTGATGTGAATTGTTGTACGACAGACCTGTAGTGCTTTCCATTCGCGACAACACCGCATCCTCGTCAATAGGCGGCGATGTGTGTGTGGGCTGGTAGGTTTGTGCACGATTCTCTGGTGCAGGCATAGACTCAGCGTTATTTGAATACTGGTACTGGTACGAATGCTGCCGTTGGTGTTGTTGGTGTTGCAGTTGCAGTTGCTGATGGGTTTGACTCCGCTGTCGCACAATCCGCTCGTGGTCATCTACTGAGCTGTATTGCTGATTGTTCGGCGGCTCAGACCGGAATTGATACTCGTGTACGGGCGCCGGTGCTTGATACGAGCGGTGCGATTGTAGATGGTGCGGCTGCCCCTGTCCACCCCTTTCATCCTTTATATCTAATTCCTCATCCGTTCGTATTTGTGGTGTCACAGCTGTGCGTGCGTGCGTCAGATTCTGCGCTGACGTGGTACTGCCCACTACATACACGCCATCCACAAACTCTCCCGCCTCATCGCCGCCACCGAACGCACGCAAATCTTCGCCTATAGTACCGCTAGGGATACTCCCGATCGAGTCATACAGAGGTGATGTTTCGCCCACAGGCCCTTGATTCGACCCCATACGACTGCTATAGTCCGTGTCTCTATATCTATCGTTCTCGCTATTCGCCTCAGTCAGACTCGCAGTGCCACTAGCAGCGATCAACGGGCTCGGCTCCGGTGTGAGGTAGCCATTGTCACTGCTGGCAGCAGAATGCACAGATTGTCTTTCAAAATCTACATGCGAGTCCTTCCAACCCTTTCCGTTCATTCTTACACCGCCACTGGCGCTACGCTTACCACCCATTGTGCTGGTATCCGCTTCAACCTTTGTTGGCGTGTTGTGTGGTACACGTCTATTGCCGACACTCTCATCGCCTGTAATATACATATTGGATGTACTGCCACGATTGTTACCTGCAAGCGCTCCAGACCCAAACTGTGCTTGCTTCTCTCGCCGATTATTCTTACTATTCCGCTTTCCCATCTCCTTGGTTTCATTCAATTGCGAGGATTGACTTCTGTTCGCATACTTACTGGCAATTCCCCCAGTCGGAGACTCGGGCGGCGCCGCACCATTGTTGACACTTGCAAACACGTTCCTCAACGACCCCGCGCTCACCGCACTGTTAAAAGCATTCAGTGATGGCGACGTTAACGGAGTAATGCGCTGGGCTACTAAATTTGGTTCTGACGCCGCTGAACCTTGCTGTGCTTTTATCTGAGGCTTCACCACCTTGGCCCACGATACACCAGCGCTTGCCGGGTTCGGTGATCGACAGGGAGATATCAAGGTGGCACCCGTACCAGAATCTCGATTGGATAGCTTCGCACGATCTGTATGAAATTTCATTAATGGCTGTATATCTGAGATACGGATACGAACGAGAATCTGTTACAATTGCATTTTCGCTCTTGAGTTGTTTGATATATCGAGCCTCCGTTTGCTGCAAAATAATCATAGAATGTACTCACCAGAGCCGAATCTAGGAGGACACACCAACTCGAACATAGTGATTCAATAGTAAGAGCTTGACTCTACAATATAACGACTAGTAGGAACGAATATATACTCGCCACTGCGCGTCAAATAAAAGAAAAGCACATACCTGTAGTGTCATCGCGATTCAATTGCTTCCCTCCCGCGCCTTCCCGCTGCTTATCATCCTTACCGCTCATCAACGCAGGGCCAGATACAGCCTTACTTACAGACTTCTCACTTGGTGCATGGCCAGTAGCACCACCTTCAGACGAATTCTCAGCACTCAACCCATTTCCAGTAGTCGTGCGTATACTACTAGATCTCGATACGTTGGCTTTGCCTGTATCTTGTTTCTTCCCATCGTCCATCAATCCGGCCGAGTTCATATCGGATTTCGACAATGTTGCAGACAGGCGTCTCGGTTTACCCTTTGAAGTTGTTGCAGTGCCACTAGCGATACCATTACTCGTCTTGTTTCGCTGAGGACTAGCAACATCAGGCGGTACGGTGTTAAGTAGTGGCATACTATTCTTTTTCTTCATCTTGCCGTTGTGTCCACTGACGGCGGGGGTTGGCTTTGAATTGCTCGAAGCAACGCGTGGTGTAGGAGGACTCGCCTTCGACAGTTTCGACTTAATAGAAGTGTTATTTTGTGCACTTGCCACATTGGATGCTCCTTTCTTGGTTTTTTTGCCACCGGTTGATACATTCTGGTCGGTGTTGCTCCCCGTCTTCGGGCTATCGTTCTTCGGTTGTGCGAAAGAAGTTATACTCACCGGCTTCAACAGTGCCTCAAAGTTTGTGGTTGGTGCAGATTTGGTGTCGGCTTGCTTATGTGTCCCGCTGGAGTCACTCGGCACTGCGCTGCACTGCTCCTCCGTGCCAGTGGCCGACGAGGAAGCTGCCGATAAGCTCTCGATACCCTTTCCTTTTTCGCTAATATCACTTGTGAACGAATCCATACTTAAATCATCGTTTGATTCGTACTCGTCACTCGAGGCCGAAGCAGAGCTCGTCGACGACGCTGTTGAGTTGGTGGTGAGAGAGGTGTCGGATGAGAATCCTTCTCGGCTATTGGCGGGGTAACACTGACTCATCAGCCTATCATACTCCTGCCTCTGGTGCTGCAGCCATGTGCATACGCTATTCGCTATCCCATTCAAGTACGCCACCGAACCGTCGCGCTGAGACACCGACACAAGAGCTAACACAACAAGTGGCATTGCCACCAGTGACACCGTACGCACGAAATACCAATCATCCGTCGTGTCTTCCCACATATTCAACAATGCCTGCCAGACTGTATCACCCTCGCCAATACGGATTCTCCTGTGTGCCGCTGTTTCACGCGCGAGCCAGGAGCAACTCTTGTAAACTTTTTCAGAAATTTCTCCGTGTAGTTGAAGATAGAAAGAATGGTCTGTGTGGCCAAGATTGGGGCCATTAGGCCACAAACCCATAAAAGCTGATTCCGAGACTGCTTCTGTGGGTGCCTCCGCCTCTGGAGGGACAAGGCGTGAAATGATCTGCAACTGACTCTCAATTGACATATTGGCGAAACTCGGGTGGAATATGATGTCCACAGCGAACGACTCACCCGGATAGATGATCTTGTACACCTCCATACTCTGCGGTACGTCATCATAACCGAACTGGAAGCCCGGATCCCTGACGTCCTCAGCGGGGTTTCTCGGCTTTATCTTAGCCTTGTCCATCACGATGTGAGTCTTTCGACTTCCATGTCCACTACGTACATTATCCCATAGTTCTGCCGCACCCTTTATTCCAAAGAAACCGCCAGTCGGCGCATCGTCCACACCTTCCTCACCCTTCTCTGTGCCATCTCCATCTAAAGGGGGTTTCAATACAGCGCTATGAGACAGCGAAAAAGCTTCGCTATTGCGCCCCACAACTCGCAACTGACGGACTTCCATGGCGACAGTTCCCGTGTTGTACAGAAGAACACTACGAGCCAATGGGAGCATATTGAGCACTCTTTTAACCTTCTTCTCTCCTTTCACACCTCCAATTGGCGTGTGGTACTCAACCATATTCCTAAACTTTGAGTCTTCCGCTCCCAAGATATCACCCGTTGTTTCATCGCCCAAACTCGTACCGAATTCCAAATTGAAGGCCTCCAAATGCGATGCACAAACATCAGCGTCGAGCTCCGGCAATTCAAACAACATTTCACTGGACGAACGGGTAGTCTGGTACGGAATCGACAGCTCACCGTCAGCGACTTGCCCTTCGAGTCTGAGGATTGTCAGAGCTCCCAAGGAGTTGTGCACGAGTATGAAAGACGGAACACGACTCCGGAATGTGGCTTCATAGATTCCCATTTGTATTTGGTCGTCGATATACACTACACGATCACCGTCTGCCACCCGATCCTCGCACATGGGACATACAAATTTCGGTTTGAAAGTTATCTTCACTAGGCCCGTATCCCTGCCACGCACGCCCAGTACGAGTTGATTGGCAAATTTATTATCCCAATCATCTTCTTCTGCCTGTCGGTCCGAGGCACCTGCATTCTCACTCGCACCACCAGCCGCTGTATCACCGGTGTAGTACGAGCCACTCTTCGCGTGCAAACGTTGATAGGTGAGTTCGTCAGAGTTTGGGTCCTCGGGTGGCTTGATTATGTAGTGAACGAAATTCTCGATAGCCGCCATCATTTCTGGGTAGAGCAACAATATATGATTGTACAGCTCAGGTGCTCTATCCTTGACTTGCTGCGGCGTGAATAATTTGACCGCGATTGGGGTATCCACTGGGTTGTGAATCTCAATGGATTTCATAGTAGTGGAGCCAATCATAATCGGTAAAAAAGTAACCAGATTTTCAGGGAGTGGATCCGGCCTGGTTAGCCTGAGAGTATAGTCCACCGTATTGTTGATCTGTACATCAGTATCGTAGCTGAATGTATCCACCCACCCTTCGTACTTCATCTTGTTCAGGACATTGGTCCATTGCCAGTCCATGTCAATCAGAGCTTGCCAGCAGTCTTCCAGCAACGGCAGCTCGAGTGCAGCACGGATCTTCGCGTGACACAAGGCCTGTGTGCTGGGCGTGTATCGCTGCACTATAACACCGTCACTGATATAATCTCCGTCACCCTCTTCTTTCTCATAGTTGGTTCTGCTGCCTGGTGCATTGTCACCGGCCGCCACACCGTCTGAGAAGCACGCCTCCTGTAGTGCAGGTGTTAGGAAATTCGCAGCATTGACCATGTATTTGAACTTCTGGAGAGGGGTGATATCCAGGTAACCAATAACGTGTTTACTCTTAGGTTCCATGTGTTCGCCCGCATTGTTCAGTCTGAATTTGACAAAGGGAATGGTTGGTGGCAAGCTGACTCCGGTTACGCCAACTTTTTGGGTGTAGTTGTTGTAAACAGTTACAGGAAAGGAATTCATACCACCCGCGTAAACTTCGTCAATTCGAATCACCTGGCTCCCAATTTTCTCTAATTCTGGCGGCAGGTCCGCTGCTCCAGACGTCGTGAATCTCGTGTAAGGTAGATCCAACGAACCTGGAGTAATCGTAAACGAGTACGGTAGCTGCAGCTTTCCATGCACAGCCGTCATGTAGCCCATGGTGTAGATAAACTTGAGGATCCCTTTGGCCTCTCCTTCAACCAGCTTCGTCGCATCCATCGAGAGTATAAACTCCACATGGTGCATGGGTGGGATGTGTATCTTGTCTCCTGTTCGCAATCCTCTTTCCTCCATTGGCGTGTCCGTGCCAGACGTCGAATCCGGCGACCGTGAGACTTGACTCAAAACTTGCTGTAAATTAAAATCAGCTCGTTCATATGGATCCACGTTCGAGATACTATTCACCGACAAGCGTATACTTCCAATGCCTTTGTGTATCAAATTCACGGTAGCCTCCGCGGATTTAACGTTGTAATTTGAAACATTGAACTTCAAATTACTGATTCGGCCTGCGCCCACTAATCGCGAGAGCATGAGCGAGTACGAGTCATGCTTCTTTCCACCACTGGGTTCGACTGAATCTTTTCCTTGCATGTCGTCCACATTGTTATTCCTATGACTTCTGGTACTTTCGACGGCATAGCCGGTATTGTTCCCAGCCGCAGCCATGATAAGTCGCCCCGTGCACCCTACCAGAGTGACACTCGTAACTATAGACGCATTGCTGTATATGTTAAGTATCGTGCTCACATCTTGTACTGGCGTGTCCGCCACTCGACTATAGACGACCGCGGCAACTACTGCCACTTCCCCCCTGCCAATGACTGTCCCTCGAGCCTTATACGACACCATAAAGTTGGGTGTGTCCGGGCCGCGAACTAGCGACACATCGTAAATAGCCACCGGAAATTTATAGTCGTTTTTAAAAGCCAGCAACCTCTCCTGAGGCGGTGCATCGACACCTCCTATAAAGACACTACTGTCGTGCTCCTGCAGCGCAAGGTCTCCGATAACAACTCTACCGTAGAAAGGTATCTCCAATCTCAACGTGTTGTTGTGACCATTGTCTGTCTCCACAACCACGAACCCCCCGAAGATGCCGTTTGTGGTGGGTGTGACGGTAAGCCACCCCACAACTGAGACGACGTCCGGATGAAGCTCGGTATCTTTGTACCACACATGTGCACCCGTAATCGCTTGATTAAGATAAACATTCTTGACAGTGGTGGCAGGAACGACCGTACTGATGATTGGAATAGGCCTTGAAATGGGCTCATTCAATCCGTTGATTGTACCGAAATCGATTGCTCGATCTATACAGATCATTCCGGATGCCACTACGTTGATCTATCGAAGAAGAAGAAAATCAGCAAAAGGACGTCAATATTGATCAAAGAATCATCTGGTAAGCGAAAGTGGAGTAAATACCGTAAAAACGGTTACACACAGATACCGTTCACCATGCCAAGACTTACCTCGACTGGGATGAGAAGCGGGATTTTCATAAACGTCTTAACGCCTCCACGATATTGGTCTTTTGTATTCTTCGTACGGTCGCTGGCGCTGCCATCTTCTGTACCATCAGCATTAACTTCATCGGGCTGTGGCAAAATTGCGGATTGTGAAAGTTAGCACGCCAGACTGTACAGCGGCGATATAAATGATGGGACAGATACAGCATACAGATGTGTAGACACTATTTGGAATAAAGGGCTGTAAGAAAAGGGTGGCACCCTATGTGAGACTTCCGCAAATTGATTGTGTAACGAGGACGCGATAGATTTCCTGAAAGTCGCGTCAATATCACACCGAAGAATTGATTAGAGTTGGAACATAGTAGATTTAAATACCCAACTTCGCCCATATTATATGAACCTAAACACAATATATATATATATATATAAAACAGAAAGTACGAACAATATATATATATATGTATATATATATATATAACAGAAAGTCGAACAATTTTACATACATCCGTGTTAGCGTCTTGTAAAGCATCATCACCGACCAATCCTTCAGATCCCTGATCTGACTCTAGGAAATCGAAGTCGCCCAGACTCCAGTCCGGCTGATCAGCACTATCCTCGCTATCGTAAAAATCGTTTTCGCCCAAGTCGTCCCAGCCATCCACTTCCGGGAACACATGTACATCATCCTCAATATCGTAGTCACTGCCGTCGTACTCAGAGTCAGCTTCCTGGGTGTTCGCATCATCTTCACCAGCTGCAGGTGGCTCCAAATCACCTCCGAGCATTGCAGAGCGCGACTTCTGATCTCCCTTGACCGCGTCTGTAGCCCGCATAAGGCTCAGAGAAACATAGCCATTATGCAGCCCCACCATATCAAGCGGAACTCGCATGAATGCGATCTCCTTCCACTGGTATGGATGTATGGACCACACTGACCAAGTCTCGTGGGTTTTGTATAGGTCTGATGGGTTGGTTTCTAGCTCTAGACCTTGGCCTATCGTGAAGCTCTCAACCACGTGTAGCGTAGTGTTGTGTGGATTATACAACGTGATTGCAGGCCCAGACACGTCAACACCCAATGGCATGGTCCAGCCTCGTATAGGTTTAACCTTGTATGGTGACCGGATACCTACGCCTTGCATTTTCATCGTGATATCCCCGATATTAGTTCGTATCTGTGAATTTATTAATACAATATACAACGTTAGACCGCCTTTTTTTTGGCACCTGCGATCAATGGCCACACCTATGTCAGATTCTTACTTAAAGTAGACATTTCTTACTCTTATAGTAAATAGTTGATGCGATTTAAAAATATCACGAAGCAGACTTACCCCCCCCACAAAAAAAAAAAAAAATCTGGACCTACCAGCAACTGGCCTTCGACGTAACCGAACACCTTGGGAAGAAACATGACACGGATCAGCGTCTGTCCACTATTCTCCTCCTTTTCCGCTATGGCCTGAAACTGGTTATCCTTAGTACGAATCTGGTGTATCGTAATAGGCAAACCGGCCTTGGACGACGCCAAGTTTATAAACACAACATTAGGCGAGCACAGAGCGATCCGCCCAAAGTTGACTGAGCTCGGGGTGAGTTTGTACATACTGGCCTCGGCAACCTTACCCACAAAGTTTGGATGATTCATATTGTGCCGCACTTGACCAGTAGTCCGCCTATGTTCACTCGCCACCGGCGATGGTCGCCCCCCCTTGAACCCCATCTCCGCCCTCTTCGTGTCAGGGGCATGACAGTCTGGACACGAACCCGAGAGTCCATGGTCATCTATGATCTCCCTAAGCGACGCGGCCGTGTCTGGTTTGAGGTCTGTTGGGTAAGTTGAGAAGTCAATGATGAGTTAGAAATCTAGTACAAAATACATATCGTTCAAGATCGGTTGGGGAGGGTGAGTAGTTACAAATGGATTAGGAATCTAGTGTGGAATACATACGAGTTGGGAATTGTCCAGGTTGAGTAGTCATTGATGTACTAGGGATCTAGTTCAAGCAACATATGGTCTGAGGTCTGTTGCACTAGCTAGTAGGCATCGAATGATATGGGACCTAGAACAAGCTAGTACAAACAAGTCGCCAAATAAACATATCATCAAATACTCAATCGCGAGTGCAAAACGTCGATAAAAAGGATACCGTTGAGCAGAGTTAATTAAACGTAGCAGCATCGGTCATAAGATACATTTTGCCAAGAATTGAACAATGTACAAACCGATGTGTAACGTGTCTAGATCTGTTGCACAATATATATATATATACATAGATACATAGATGCATAGATACACACACATATACACACATACATATATTATACAAACACACACACACACACATAT